AAAGGTTATTTCATGCTTGATTTTCAATATGAATTTTATTCCACATGAAATATGACATTGAACTCGGTAAATATTATATTGACACTCACTCGCTACGCTCGTTCGGTCAATATCATATTTCCCTCAGTCAATATCATATTACCCTGGAATAAAATTCATATTGAAAATCAAGCATGAAATAACCTATATGTAATATTATATAATAGTAATAAAGATTATCATCATTATAATTTGCCAACAAACATGTTGTTATGTCAACTAATTATATATTTTGCCTAACCGTGAGTGCCAAGGAAACCAGAATGATCCAGCTACATAAACACCACTGGGGAGGAAGGCTTCTGACATTTAAAAAACAGGAAAGTGCATTTCATTAGAAAGGTGGAGAGATAGTATCGCAACTGTTTTCGAACAGTCATATGTTGGATTTTGGCTATTTTCTGAGACACATGTTTTTTCTGAAATGTTTTTTTTTCTGAATTTTTCCTGATTTTCAACCCCTTCCAACCTGTTTTTTCAATTTTTGTTGTATCAATATGTCGTGTTTTGACACACGGTTAACCCCTTTAAAGAAATAAAAATTCCATAGAGGTTATAAAGATATCCATTATGGGTGACCAAAAATAGCTGACAGCAATTGATTGCATGAGTTTTCCCTATGGAAAATAACATGTGAAATATTATTTTCCACTTTATCGAAGAAGAATTACCCATAGGCTAAGGGCGATAAAAATCATTTTAAATAAAGATGGCATGGTAACGATCTGTGTTTATCTGAAAAAGATAACACTGAATTCTGTTGGTGCTGCCATCTTTATATCGGCCCAGAACCTATGGAATTACCTAGTCCTTCGAAGGGGTTAGTTGTGTCTTAAAGGCCCCATATAAAGTTTAAACCACTTTGGCTTATATTGTAGTCTTACCCAATGTTATCAAAGTGTGATATGTGAAACTTTTTTTTTTAATTTCAAAAAGTGGTTTTTGATAGACTTTTTGTTCAAAAATTTGTGAATTTATTTAAAACCAACTTTTAGAGGTCACTCATATCTTCTAATTAGCTAATGTTTTTTGCCGAAAAAATTAAGAAAATCGGTTCATAAATAAGCGAGAAATGAACTTATCAGTGCATGAAAATGGTTCTGAGAAAAATGCATTTCAAGATTTTAGTTTTCATAGAAACCAATAGTACAATGATATCTAAAACTGACAGTGAAAGTGAGACTGACTATCGAGCCTTAGATCAAGGCCACCGTAGCATCTGTAAAAAGCTGCAAGGTCTGCCAGTTTACACACCCGATGCAGCTGTTCTACCCCAGCTAGGATGGCAAACGATTACCTCAACAATAATAATCGCCAAATTGATGTTTTTGTGGCAGTTACTGTTTCTAATGACAGGGTCTGTGTACCGCTGTATTGCTTTTAAGAGAATCACCATGTATAGGCATGGTGCTAAACTTAACAGATTGTCGCCGCTGCGAGACATAATGGAGCTTGTGAATCGTTATGGAATAACAGACATGGTGTATCAAATCCTAGACCATGGTGCAAATCCATCGAAATTGACCTGGAAACGCTATGTTCGGAACATTATACGGAATTGCGATTTGGATGGTTGGAGACGCGAGGTTAATACTTATAAGGAACTAATTCTCTATAAGGAAGTTATCCACAATGTGAAACCATGTATATGGTGGATAATAGCCAGGAAAGATTCAAGATTCATAAAGAGATGTAACTTAATGATGCGACTAATGGTAGGACAAGGCCGCTAAAGGGTAAACACAGGCGAATGGGAAGGAATACCGATGAGAGATAGATTCTGCGAAAGCTGCAATGAAGAGATTGAAACGCTCGAACACTTTGTTTTAAAATGTCTGCTCCACAGGGTAACATTAAGTACGATTTTAGATGGAATACCAAACATTAGTGCAATGTCAAATGCTATGAAACTGCGAGCTCTCTTTGGGGGAGACCAGTGTATTAATGGAAGTGGACTTAAACGTGTAAGCACGATTATACAGAACATGTATCTCGCCAGGATTAAAGTCAATATGTAGGAACAGCATGGGATTAGTATAGACTCATAGATATATATGAACTTTCCCGTTGATTGTCCCCCTACTTGAGTGTGTGATTGAACACCGTGTGATCGATGGAACGTCAGTAAACTGAAAAACGTCAAAATATGAATACAAGTGTGTTGTCAAAATGGCAATTTTCTCCTCGTCAAACAGAAATGTACATATCATAAAGTTTTTTGCATTAAATATGTTCACCCTTGCGGGAGTAAACGTTTGGACATGCAACATCAACCTTGGGGAAGATGTCTGTGGTTCCAAGTGTTTTCTTTATGCTAAGTGTGTTCCAGTGTACTATGTCATTACATCTCTTCCTTGCCAAAATATGTACATATTGTAACTTTCTTTTAAGTAGTTTCTTTTTGTATAACCTTTTTTCAAACAGGAGTTGCCACCTGGACATGCAACATCAACCTTGGGGAAGATGTCTGCGGATCCAAGCTGCGAGTTTCCCTGTGTACCATACATGTCAGCTCTAAGAGCTTATATATAATTATTATTTGAGTTAGAAGAGCTTTATCTTGTCTATTGTAACTTAAATTTTGATACAAGTTTTAATATTTCTGTAATATATAATCATTATATTATCTCCAATCAATGGAGGGGAAATAAATCTAATAAAAATAATAAAAAACATAATTTATTCTTCCTTTTACCCTGGTTAGACAATCAACATTGCTTTTTTCTGAAAGTCTAACATATTTAGAAAAGATTGACATCGAAAAAAAATTTCAATTTTTTTCAAAAAGTTTTTGGTACCTTAGTGACATCACTAATGTTTCAAAATATTTTTGATATGCTAAAACATTGAAGTGGCCCATTAAACATGGCATTTTATTATTGAAATAGTGTGTCCTTTGTTCAATCTTTGCATTGGTGTTAAAAATATAATCTTTTTTGAAATGTATTAAGAAATATTTGATGATTAAGAAATTTCAACTTTTATTGAAAAATGGCGGGAAATTTGAATAATTGAGAAATGAAATGCTCACAACCTTTTTTTCAAAAATTTTTTTTTGTTCAAAAATCTTTAAAATCACTTTTTAAGTCTTGACAAATAGTAAATTAATGATAAAAAATATTTTCTAACTTTAGACGGGGACTTTAAAGAATTTGCACCTTCTTGCAAATTAGCATAAGTATGAAGATTTATCTCACACATAAGTAAACATTTTGAATAAACAGCCCTCTTACTCACGCGGTACTAACTTCGAACGTTAATTTGAATTTTTGACCTACCAGATGCTTGAGAATCAAGGATTGCGAGTCTCATACTGCACCGTTTGTCTTTAAACGTATACCGTTAAAGCTAACCAAAATTGCCTTTTGTGATGCCGTTTCTCAAAAACCATTTGATCATCATCTTTATTTTGTATGAATTAATAATCTTACATAACGATCGATTATTACTGATTGCACTCATAAAGAAATGTTTTTAAAGTGCTAATTCGGTAATTTCTGTTTATTTTTTCTCACTTCAATAGATTAAACAGATATTGGTAAGTAATATGTGTAGTATTCCAACAGATTTTCAACTCATTCCGTTTGTTCATAAGTGGCAAAATAAGATTTCCCGGGAAAAAATGACGTCACGAATAGAACCGGTTATGGATTTTTGAATTTGAATACAATTTTGAACAAAATACTCATCGGCCAGGCGCCGGTGTAAAAGGGTAGGAGGTCCTATCAAATGATGGTCCTACTCTCCATTGATTTATATGGTGACCTAAATACAACTCTTTCCCTTATTATCTTATACACAATCAGGGCCAGTAAGGAGCAAATGTGACCACGGCACTATGCAACTAAAGTACCAAGTTAAAATTGTTTATGTTATATTGTGTTCTGATTGGCCAGAAAGGAGCAACGCTTACCGAAATAACCTCATAGTTCAATGCCTTTTGGTAAGATTTTAAACAGCATTGAGTTATGTAACATAATCAACTCAACGTGTATAGTTTCTATACTGTATTCTGACTGGCCAGAACGTATGTCTGCATGACTAGCTTTGTGAAAACGCACCACAGGGTCGGGAGCGCTAATTGAGGTATCATATTTTTCGCTCATCGGAGGAAAACATGTGGCTCCAAAGTAGTTAAAGTTTAATCATTTCCGCACTGCATTGAATGTAGTTGCAATCAATTACACTAACACTTTATAAGCACGTTCGGAGATTATGAACTCGAACAACATATTCAAAACCCGTTCTGTTCGTGATGTCATGATTGGCATTTGACATTGTGTTCCCGATTTTGAACATCAAATTTCACATTTATAATTTTTTTTTACAAGAACGGTACCTGGTTTGACATGTTGGTGGTATTTACCTCATTTAGAACGTGTATAAACTGTATTTTGACCCCATGAGCATCGATCAGACACTTTAACTTACATTGCATTGTTCTAATTAAGAACATCGTCAAAACAATAGACAACAAGTTTCCGTTTACCCTTGATCCGTGGCTCAGCTATCGTTTTTGTACTAGTTTGACAACATTCAACATGATGTTACGCCTGATTTTGAGGCATCTGAAGAAGACAAATATCATTATGTAAACATCCCGTGGCATCTCCGTTTTTAAAAATAGTTTTGTGTCACGTTACAGATAAAACAATCAATATGTCATAACCAAACCTCTCATCAACTTGTGTAACTACTTTTATTCACATTTGCAGATTAAATCAAATAATTTGATTCGATGGCACGATTTGACGTACGTAAGTATTATCAAAGTTATATTGACTACCTCTACTCTTTCTGCGAAGAATAAAATTAAAGACCAAATAGCGCCTGGTTCAATCAGAAACCCGACTACCGACAAGATATAAACCTAGGACAATCAAAGTTACACACCTGACACTAATTTCAATATATAAATATAGCAAATCCTCATTGAAATAATAAAACAAATTAGCAAGAACATGGCAGATATCAAAGAATCGGGTGAGTTGTCTATTTAGATTACTTTGAACATGTTTTTTGTATGTATTTGTTAACAAAATGGCAGACAACGCTGTTCAATTGGATTTGCCTCTTGGCGATGCTCTCGGCCTGTGGTGTTTTCTAGTTTCAACCCCAATGTGTACAGAGGTTATTTTAGCCGAAGCTTATTCCAATCTTTATATATTTCACGGTATTCTATTGTCTTGTCACACTTGCCCCGGTCTGGAGCCCTGCTTGGTTGTCCACCCAGGCCCTCATAATCATATACGTTTCTCTATATTGTTTCAGAAAACACATCAGACACTTCTTATGTTCTTGGTATCATATGTTCGGAATGAAATGAAACATCTGTCCGAACCTCAATGGAACAAAATGACATAAACACAACGTGTTTAGGTCTCTCAATATTAAAATTGTACAAAGGAAAGTTTGGTTGATTTAAAAACAATATCTATTTAATGAAATAAAAAGTTTATCTTAATTCTTTATCTATTTTGGGGGTTTCTGTTTTAATTTTTTGATTATTTTTTTAAAATCAACCTAGAGAGGTCTAGGGAAATGTTGTACATGATATTTTGTTCCAACAAGCGTCGGAAAGATATTTTATTTCATTCTTAAGAATTGGTAAAAAGTAACAAAAAACAATTGCAGTAAAAAACAAAAATTGTGAACAAAAACTGTATATATAAAAAAAATTCGCATAAAATTGTTGTCAATCACTCAAAACTACATTAAGGACCGTGTTTTTTTCAGAATGTTTTCAATAATTGGTTTAAAGGGTGACGCATGTCGTCTAGCAATTCGAACTCTCGTTTCCGGTGTTGCTCACTGTTTAGTATAGAAGGACTGATCCAGGAATAATACTCAAGGGTTCACAGGCTCGAGGTCGTTGTGTAAACACCTCTAACTGTTATATAGCATTAGAATATTATAGATCGTCACACATTTATAAAAAGGAGATTTTTATTTTGACAAATTATTTTCTCATTTATGGGTGAAGTTTCAGGATCTTCTATTTGTGTTTATAAGGATAAATTGACACACGTTTTTGTACACAGCTTGGCTTTCAGAATCATTATTAACGGATTACTTTATCTCCAATTTCAATAAATATGACTTTTCAGAATAATAAGTTCGTTATCAAAAACATAAACTGGGTATGCACGACGATCACCAAATGCATTTGGAGGGGCGATATGTTAGAATTAATTTTGAGATTCTCGATCTTCATGTGGTTTATGGAAGTCGCCATAACCTAGATTTAAGTAGCTTTGAATATTCATGAGTCGTGTCACATCAACTCAACAAATTCGAGCATTTTGATTGGCTTAAATAATGCGCATGCGGGGTCACATTGAAACTACGAACTACATGTATAAACACGAATGTTAATTTTTTTTGTTAAATGTTTTCATACCTTGATAATCACCGTAACCCCCTTCAAATGTGCAAATGTCTCGACTTCCTTGAGCTGAAATTCTAAAGTGAATACAACTCCCGTACGCTTCCTGCGCCAATAATGATTTCGATAAATTCTCGGCTCTGACTGAGCTCACTTCTCATGACTTCTATGACTTCTTAGCATCAATGCCAGTGAAATGCTTTGCAACAAGGTATTATATGATGAACAAAAGGAAGCTTGTTTGAATAATGAAAGTAAATTAACCCATGTTCAAGATTGTAATCAGCATATCTCAAAGCTTGAAGTCTCAACTAGTGATGAATTAATCACATCATTACCTAATTCATTTTTAGTATTTATCTGGAACATAAATAGACTGACAACAAAGCTAAATGATGGCGATGACCTTTATGATTTAATGAAAAAATATTCTTTATGTCTTTTAAAGGAATATTCCTTGCCAGACCCTTTCTCTCTTGATATGGTAGCTATAATCATATATATAGTTTCCATATTTAGCAAAACATGGGAAAATGTTTTAATATGGTCAATATTGATCATTTAAAAATCTAGTGCTTATTTCCAGTGAGCTGCCATCTTTTAAGATTTCTTGCAGGAAGTGATGTCATCAACTCTCAACTTCTAAAACATTGCCCATAACAGTGTAGGAAAGTAGCACAAAATCACTTCTAGACAAGTGATCATTACTTTCTGTGCAAAAATATTTTCAGGGCTTGTCAACTTAGAATAAAAGAAGAGATTTTCAGAAGGATTAAATAAAATACAAAGTTGAAAAAGAATATTTAGCTGGTTTTGTAATTCTTAATAGCTCCTACCCTAATGCTATATGCAAAGTTGAGAGTCGATGACATCACTTCCTGTGTGAAATTTTGAAAGATGGCAGCTTACTGGAATTGAGCATCACATTTCTAAGTGATCAAATTTGACCATATCAAAACATTTTTGCGTGTTTTGCTAAACATGGCAAGCATATATATTGTTATAGCTACCATATGAGAAGAGAGATAGTTTGGCAAGGAATATTCCTTTAAGTGAAACCTGGCTTTCACCTGATGAAACTCTTTCTTTAAAGGGTTTTGAATGCATTAACTTAGCCCGTGGGTGTAGAAACATCTCTTATAATTCTAAATTATATTCAGGGGGGCTAGCCGTACCTTGGTGTAAACTACCCACCTAGGTGTAAACTTATCCATAGCTTAGCCATATCCAATGAAATATTAGAGTAACTTACCGCACCACACATAGGCATATTCCATGTGTTTGGATGCTTTGAAGATGGTGGCTACGTCGACGATACGTCAGACATTCGGTCCACATCCGGGTCTCTGGAGGAAAGATGGTGGTCCCCGTCTAACAGACAACTGTGTCGCTGGGTCAATTTATGATTTTTATTTTCAATATTACACCAAAACTTACACATAACAATTTTTCATCTTGTTGGATTTTATTAAGTAGTATTGTAGCTACATTTTAAAATGATTAGAAGACCTGGCATTATTTCTGCATTAAAAACTGTCTGATCAAGTTGACTCGCCTGGAGCCGCCATGTTGTTTTTATACGGGAAGCTCATCGTAACCCTTTAAGAGAAAAACATTGTTGAATTCAGTTCACCATATCGATACCAATCCTTTGAGCGAAGTCTAACAGCTCAGTTTAAACTAGGTATTTTGCCACTTAGGCTAGAGACAAGCAGATTTAAGGGAGAACGTACAGAAGAACGATTATGTACACTATGTAAGGCAAACTAAGTTAAAAACAGAAAAAATGTCGGTCCCGGGGTACCTGTACCTCCTTCACGGAAATAAGGATATATCAATATGTATTATATATTTTGTTTTCAAATCTTCAGAATTGATAGATACTTTAATGGTGTATCATTGGTAGGAAAATCAAAGGGATTGTTTTATAAAAAGTATCTGTGTAAAAAAGCGTCTATTACTTATTGATCACCCCTCGTATAACTTCTAAAAATGGGATGGGTATTGAAATACGATAAAGTTAAAAACCACATTTCCTATGTTATTTTCCAATAGGGAAAACTCATGTTATCCATTTTTCAGCATGATTTTGGTCATCGAAAATTGATATCTTCAAAACTAGACTTTAAATACCATTCTACTTTTGAAGATGTTTTAGACCCCGTGTTGAATAATGTTTGCATGCAGTAAAGATCAGAAAAAGAAGATCCTCTTTGAGCAAATAAGTTCAACATTTTGAAAAAGGCGTTGGCGTTGGGGTCCCTATGTATAATTTTTCGAATCGTTCAATTGATATTTTTATCATCATGGGGACTTCACTTGAAAGAAAACATATTGTTTTAATAAAAAACACTGTATTTATGCCCAGAAAGTACTCATGGTGAAAGATATGACCGTCTAAAATCACTTGCCACACTGCACATGGACCTTTCATTTAGCCATATTAAGGATGTTGCATACATATATTCACATAGCTACAATAGGCAACCGATTATATGCTTATGTATAATGTAATATGTTAACCATTTGAATAGTAATTCGAATGATAATGTTTTCATTCCCTCCAAACGATTAGGTTCAGTTGTAAAACACCAATGTTTATTTATCACCACTTAAAATCGTGTACACAGCATACATTCTATAATTCCTACACTCCCCTCCATAAGTTTGGCAACCTTTTTTCCCCATTGAACTATGTGTTAAAGCCTCTTACCGTTTGAATTTTTATTTACTTAACCGGTGATGAAATAACGTATAATATTGATGGAAACGTAACTTGACTTTATTTCCAATACCTCCAAATTTTCTCAATTTTTTTCCTCAATTACAATAGGTCGAAAATTGATGATAAATATGATGAATTTTTGAAAATCGTCATTCCCATGTAATCCAATGGAAAATGGAGGGTTCGGGGCAAATCAGAAATCAGGATATCTTTTCAGTAAAAGATTCAGAAAAAAATATTTCTATATAGAAAATTGAATTGTCTAACTTTTTTGAACACTAAGTGTTTAGTTTATTTGATGAATATTAAAGTTACAGCGCTTCAAAGTCATTTTTGAAAATAATTGTTCGCCTCCTGTGTTATTTCAATGGGAGAGGTTTTTTGAAAAAAAAATTGACTTTAAAGCCCTATAACTATGTTGAACCTGAAAAAACATATCAATTTTTTGTTAAATAAAGTTAGCAAATTCAATTGCCTGCCTAACTCGTATTTTTTGCAAGGACTCGGATGGATGGATATTCTGTCATATGACTTGCGGCAAACCTACCATTTCCCATTGCTTAACATGGGAATGTCGATTTTCAAAAATTCATCAAATTTAGCATCAATTTTCGACCTATTGTAATTGAGGAAAAAAATTGAGAAAATTTGGAGGTATTGGAATTAAAGTCAAATTACGTTTCCATTAATAGTATAAGTATTTTCATCGCAGGTTAAGTAGATAAAAATTCAAAGGTAAATAGGCTTTAACACGTAGTTCAATGTGGGAAAAAAGGTTGCCAAACTTATGGAGGGGAGTGTATATCACTGATTATGTGCTTCTGTGATGTTTTAACCATTTGGACACTAATACTGAATAACAATATTTACATTTATTATAGTCGTCAAACAATTATATTCAGCTGTAAATATCAATTACTGTTCTTTATTTTCATTTACAATGTTACATATCAAAAATATATTACATTAATATGTGTAATGTTTTAACCCTTTACACTCTAACACAGATTAAAATGGTTTCATGTGTTATTGTCTTCGAACAATTATGTTAACATGTGAACATCCAATGATCTTCATATTTATTTACAATGTTACAGTTTCTCCACGGGATGAGCTGTTTTTGTTAAAAAAATGTGTGACGATGGTTTTTGCTCCACCAAGGGCTATTGATCTTTTTCATGATACTCAGAGAGATAACTCATATAAATATTATGCAATCGATTTGGGCCGTGAGAATTCAAAAAAGCAGCCTATGTACTTAATAATTTAATATTTAATCCCCTTCAATTCTAATACTGCTAAAAACCTTTATTGTATTATTCATTTCAAACAATTATGTTCAGTCGTAACCATACAATTTTTTAATCTTTGTTTACAAAGCAATACATACACATTTTTCATTTCTAGACTAGACTCATTATGTAATATTTTATTTTAATGTTTTGGATACAATACTGATGACCGTTGTAAACATGAATCTGTAATATTCCAGCTCTTTAAACACGTACAGTTACAGTTCATCTTACAGTTACACTTATGAAAATGTTTTAAAGTAATATATCATTCAAACTTTTGTGTTAAGTCTACAAAGTAGTATTTATTAGCTTTATTTGTAACGTATCCAAATAGTTCAAATATTACAGAAGCCTATCAGGCCCATAAACAGGATTTGCCAAAATTCCAAGGGGCCCAAAAATGGCCAGGATCACTTTGAAATGTGCTCAGAATGGTGAAAAAACTGCATGCTTTTAAAAGAATGTTTGGCCAGGATAAGTCTATAAATAAAAAAAATGTATTTGCAAGATTGCAAATGAAGATAATTAAAGCTAGATGTTTATAACAGAACACGAATGTTTCGATAAAATAATTCATGAAAAGATTTTCATCAGTATTAAGTTAAAGCATATATCATTTGTTTAGAAATTAAGAAAAATGTATAATCTGTAAGATTGTAAATGAAGATGAAGAACTTTGGATGTTTACATCCAGACATAATTTTTTGAAGACGATGATATATAAAAACATTTTAATCTGTAGAAGTGTGAAAATGGTTGAAATATTACAGAAACACATATTAGTAAGCATACATGTAGTATCGAATTCATCTGTAAAATACGTAATATATACATACGTATAACATAATAAATGAAGATATAGATCATTGGATGTTCACTCGTGATCATAATTTTTCTAAGACAAGAATATATAGAAACATTATAATCCGTATTAGTGTGTAAAAGGTTAAAATATGACAGAAACGCATAATCATAAGGGGTAAATGTTACTGTAGTATATGTGGATATGTAATCTAAATAAGATAATAAATGAAGATAATTTGTTATTTACATCTGAAAATAATTGTTTGAAGACAATAATATTTGAAAACATTTTACTCTTTATTAGTGTTTAAAGGGTCAATTATAACAAAGACATGTGATAGTAAGGATTAATGTGTAGTATCTGTAAAATATGTAATATATGGAACATTGTGAATGAAGATGTGAACAATCATTAGTATTTACTGCTGAACATAACTGTATGAAGGCTCTAATAAATGAAAATATTTTATTCAGTATTAGTGTTCAAGGTGTTTAAAAGTGTTTAAAACATCACAAAAACACATGATCAATGATGTAGAAATTATAAAATGTAACATTTGTGTTACGTTTTAAATGGAGATATATAAACATGATCGTTTGAATGGAATAAAAAAATTAAAACATTATCATCCGAATTACTGATCAAATGGTTAACATATTACATAGCATATTATCAGTAGCCCACCATATATTGGCAACATCCTTAATCTAGCTAAATCAACAATTAATGTTCACAACATAAAAAATTGTCTATATAGAATATTACATGACATTTTTATATAAGTATTAGTGTTTAAAGGGTTAATACCTCTTAAATTAAATAATATATAATTAAATAATAAATAATAAAATATAGTGGATAAAAGCAAAAAACATGTACAAAGAGTCATGAATTAGATCTCTGACCTCAGCTGTCCTTTGTATCACATGAGATTGTATGTTACTTGATAGCGCTAGCAGTAGTCAGTGTGTGTTACGATAGCAGTAAGAGTAGTCGAAAAAATTATTGTGATGTTAGAAATACATTATCAATAACTTTTAACATAACGTTTGCCATGTATTTATGAAATAAATTGAAATACTTAAAAGTTACGATACATTTTTGACATATTTTTAAAAACATATTATTGATTTTTTGAGGAACAAATACGATGGCACTTTGTCATATATTGAATCATGTTTATACAAAAATTAATTAAGGAAATCAAAATCCTTTATTTTACCAATACTATGCAAAGATATGTAGCATAACCCTGCTTTTAATCAACCTTTGGGAATCAAAGGGTTAATTATTAAAAAATGCCTTTCACACAATTGCCAAACTATTTCAGAAGTTATGGATGCCATTTATAGACAATACTATTAATTCGTCACTGTCATAAGCGAGGCGAAAAATCTTTAAGAATTAAAATGTCAATGTGTCCCTGTGTCAAAAAATGGAAAGAAGGCGCCACTATGATAGCTCATTTGAAATTCGCTGACCTTTTCAGACAAGCACCTCATATATTCTTGGACCCTGAGGTATGTGCTAAAGGTTGAGAAAGTAAAATTCCATGACTTGTCAAAAAATTAAGATGTTACTAAACAAACGGTGACTACAACGACAGTCATCACGGATGTTCGAAGATATTTTTAATCTTTTTAATTAGCTATTTAAGAGATCCAGTCGTCTAGATTTATATTCTGGACAATCAGTAATGTTCCAATATAATTGCTCATAAAACATCATAATTTATATCCCTTAAATATATCTTGAGACCAAATCATAAGCACAATATCACCAATATATTGAGGAAATCATCAAGGCAACCAACAGAACAACCAAATGTCAGAACTGAACTCAATAAGTCGAAAACAATATACAATGTTTTTGGGGGATTTATCTATATTTTAACCCTAGAAGCCCCAAGGTAAAAAGGTAACACGAACACCTAAGGGGGGTCAAAAGGGCACCCCCCTAGTAAAATTTTTACTAGTAAAGCTAGGATGTTCAAACTTTCCCCAAATATACTTTATCCAATGACCTAAAATAGGTTAGAATAGAATAGCACTCTTTATTATCAGATATAATACGCACAGTGATCCTCTAGCAAAAATTATAATAAAAGGTTTATTTTAGGAATGAAGGACCAATGTCAATCAAGTGAAAGTAATACTGAAATGTATGCATCTAAGAAAGATTCAGCAAACAAGGGTACGACTGGACTAACGAAAAAAGGGGAGGAAAAGGACAAGAAGGCTACTGGTAAGTCCTATACGATCTCTGTTGTACACGTTGATGGTCTAACCAACGAATTTAGAATGGATTAGTGGCAGGTACTATTCATATTTAAATGAGTCGTCCATAAAATAGGAGGTTAATCCGGCGGCTGCTAGTTGTTAGTTGCGTTCGCGAAAACAAGCTCAAGTTAGGTCCGTCATGGAAAAATAGACACCATATATCCCAAAACAATGATCTAACGTGAATAGAAATAATGTCTAACACCCTCCCTCCAATCGAAAACCAATATCACAATCCAGGACCAGAACACCAAGGGACGTTTCAGGCATACTGAAGTCATTGCAATACACGTTAGCGAAAATTTTTAAAAATTGATAGCCAAGACACATAACATCAAAAATAGCTGTAGATGCTATTCTAGTACTCATAAAAGCATTCAGTCTTGATGCGGGATAAATGGAATCCAGTCTCAAAGTCCATAGGCAATAAAAACGTCAGCATCCATTCGCGCCGTCGCCGCAATCCATAAGACACATTAACCAGATGTCGTTTATATCGTTCCGTATTGGTCGTTTTATTTACTAACGCTTAACCATCGACAACGTTCAGTGAAAAAATATGCGGTTGTACACTTTTGTTATGACAGTGATATAATAAAACAAGTATTTAATTATATTTTCGGCAAATACCTGTGACACTTTCACAAGATGATATTACACTAGCTCTTCGGGCTTCGTGGAATATCACTTGTGAAAGATGCACAGGTATTTACCTCTGTAGAATTAAATATTTGTATAGTTTTTCATGTTCAATTTCATGTGCATGCTCTTGGCAAGACTTTTAACTTTCCAATTACGTTAATAGATTCTCAATTAGTGCTCGAATGTATTCTAGGCAATTCCATCCACATAATTGACCGGCTGGAAAATGTTCCCACGGACATGGGTGGAACTACCTAGAAAAAATAGTGCTCTGTTTGAGAATCTGTTAACGTAATTTAAAATTTAAAAGTCTTGCCAAGAGCATGCACATGAAATTACAACATGAAATACTTCATCATATTCCTTACTAGATAAAATCTTAAAACCTACATCACAATTTTTGCTTCAAAAAGCTAAAGTGTACACCCGTTTATTTTATCACTGTTCGTTGCCGATGATTAGTTGATTAGGCGTGTTACATTAATACGGAATAAAACATATCATTCTATGAAAAACCATCACAATTACTTTTCAAAGAAATTAATTAAAGTTTAGTGTTAAGATCACAAAAATGGGGATTAACATAGTTTTGACCTACATTTTGACTTGAGCAATTGACTGTTCAAAGTTCGAGTGAAAGTAATTTTGAAATCCCTCTTCTGTTTTAGGCTTAACCTATTTTATTTGTATCCAGTTATCCGTTTTTTACAATTTAATATTTCATCGGCGCCATTGACTTTACATGGGGATATCATCATATTAATTTTCGAGATGTAAAGAATTCATAGCCTGACCATGAACCATGGCTTTTACCCTAACCGTTGCCCTTACACAAAGGTAATCCTGATTTCAATTCAGTTTTTGAAATCTGGTATATTTCTATTTTTGAAAATTTACAAAATTCTAACCGAATAAATGGGCATCATATCACTTTTTGAGATTTCAAAATGCCAAAGAATCTGAACCGAAAGTCAAATACCTAGTTTTCGGACACTGGTATCACAAAATCCGTTTAAATCATCAGAAAACTATTTCATGTTGCGTTTTTCTACTTTTTATGATAAACACAGTGAAAGAAAAAGAAGCAAAACATTAAAGGATGGCCGAGAAAATTGAAAAAATCAGAAAAGTACAACTTTTGACCTAGCTCTTAACCGTTGACCTAGATAAAAAAATTAACCCAATTTCCTATTATCCCAGACCATTACCAAAATATGGTTACCCTTAGTCACATGAATAAGAAAATTTACCCCTTCAATCTATACAGGTTTCTATGATTACTTTCCCATTTATATGTCGTGTAAATGGGACGATAATTTGCTAATTTCACTTAAAACATTTAGCAACTTCCTCAGTATTCCAGTTAACATCACAAAAAAGATTATTCTATGAAATTCATTCCGGGTGTTAACACTCTTTGCACTCGAGGATATTTTTGATATCTCTTCTTATTGGTTATTTTTGTTTATTTCTAACTCATTTTAAATAAATTGTGTGCTTTAATTTTATATTAAATTGACGTTTTGTTATTGATATTTGTTCAATATAATACTAAAACATATGCATTTATTTGGTTTTCCTTGAAAATATGACCAAAAAGAAAGCGTGGTAATGCTCATTTAATAGTCCATGGTATGACTTCCGAATATGAAGGATCCGTAGCACACTATAGCGCAGCAACATTTGAAGCAATATTTTTGAAGATGTATATGTCTCGATTCTTTTGAAATACCATTTGCTGAAAAAACTTCCGGCTTTCGGGTCGAAAAATGACTTACATCATAAGGGGTCAAAAAACGTAAATATTTTGATTCGAACTTTTATACATTTTATAAGACACAGACCGTTATTCTAAGCGTACGAACAAAAAATATATTATCATAATGTAAAAATATACTATAATTTTACTGTAGATGTCGGTGTTTAATTAGTGTAATTACGGAAGTGTGTTTTTCAGATTTTGTTTGATTTTTCAAATATGAGCCAGGCCGATTCAACAAAATTGTGTGGACTTTTTAGGTAATTTATGATTGGGAACATATTAGTTTTCTTACCATTTAAAACATTTTACTACCAGATTTTTTCCATATAATCGCACGGGGTCTAACAACAAATTATTGGACATGTTTTATAAAACATAATACAATAACAAATAGGTAAGATTAATTTCTAATTAAATGTTACAGAAGTATTGGAATGCTCATATATTCCAAGGGCATGTCTAATAATCAATTAGAGTCATATGCAATCGAACGCCTTACAATTCTTTCTCGACGTTACTTGTGGCTAACATCAAGTTTTCTAATGGTTGTTTCTTCTGTGACCTTACCGCTGGATATAATCAAATTTTAAGAAGATAATGATAACGATTTTTCTCAAATATTCATGAATTCGAATTCCATTCTTGATGGTTGCTTTATAAGCAACTGAGCTATATCTAACTACGAGAAATAGAATTTTAGCTGTAGTCCCAATTAGTCAAGGAAAAGCAATAGGCCCTCTTTTATTGATAATTTTCACCGCTGAATAAAAGTCTATATCCCAAAACGCATTGAGACCCATTTTGTGAAAAACTAGCATGATTTAAGCATTTGTCATTCTAATATAAAAGTGATTCATTTGTAGCATTTATCTTATTAATACCTGAGAAACAATACAAAACGTCGATACACTGATAACATAATTTTTTGGTATTGATAAAAAATAACCTCAAACTTATAGCTTAGAAATCTAAATCAGATATCTAAAATCATTTTGTATTATTTTCTGTTGCATTTTGTACTCCAAATTGTATTTTTTGGTAATTTTTTGACCTCTGTTAATGGCAGGCATAATTCAGCCTAAAAGCCGGAAGTATATTAAACGGTTATAATAAAAATTATTAGGGAACATATGTAGGTATGTTAATGTTAGGTCAAATATCGCTGCGCTATAGTGTGCTACCAGCTCCTTTATTAGACGTCCTAGAGATTTCATACCATGGACTATAAGAGTTATCATGTTTTTAATACGGACTAACCAAAGAGTATATGACAAAGTTTCCTTAAAGAAAAAGTGATACGCAGTAAAAAATATTTAACTATAAACATAGGGGCTCTCCTTTAAGTCTTTTTTGTATTTCTGACATAATGGCGAGTCTAAGTATGACATATAAAATGAAAACGACAAAGTATACGTATAAATCGGTCATATACATTACATGTAGCTTTCTCACCGTTCACGTAGGCAGTAAATATACCATTGATAGTCCGCTAGCTAGTTTTCTGATACATATTCTAAACAAGCTCTTTTCGGGCTCTGTATAAAAAACCTCCTCCTTCATACCCACCTACCCACGTACGTTGGACATGATACAGTCTTTGAAGGGTTAAAATTTTAAAGATCTTATTTTATTAAACCTTAGTTTATGATGAATTATAGATGCATTTGTAACGACCCTTGATAGCAAGTTGCTACTACAGCCCAGCTGGGTTCAATTCCCACTCGGGGCATCGAATTAAGCACACTCTCTTTCAATTTCTTTATCTGGCTGGTTGGACCTATGCTCACGGTCATAAGTTAGTTATTCCCCTGGGTGCCCTTGGGTCATTTCACATTTCAATGCACCCATATGCTTTTATTTATGGATCTATCATCCGTCTAGTCATAAAATAAAGCCGGTATTGTAGAAATGTTGATAATTAGAGCTATTTTGAGATTTAAAAATCTTTAAAATTGAACTCTTCAATGACTGTATCATGTCCCACGTAGGTGGGTAGGTGGGTAGAAGGTTTTTTATACAAGACCCTCGTTTCGTTAGATATTTAGAGCTTAAACACGTATGACATAAATCATTTTCTTAAAGTCACCAGTGTTCATAATTTTGGCAACGTCTTAATACATGTTTGATGCATTATTATATTTGACATATTAATTATACACAATTCAAAGGTTTGCGTGAAACCCCTACACGGGCATGGGTGGGAAATTTGACCAACACATTTTGGCTTGTCTAATTCCTCACCCAGGGGCCTAATTTATAAGTCAATTTTCCTACCCTAGAAGCAATAAATTTGGCTGAATATTCCCATCCCCTGGCCCTACCCCCGAATCTGCTCTCTTCAAAGCATAAGATCTTGTGCATAACATAAGTGCAGTACATTGTTTGTATCAATAGTTTAGTTAGAGATACCATTTAAAGTCCCCGATGAACACACTACCCTACCTCGATCGCGCATGCGAGAAATTTTTGGCTTTTATCCAGGTCCCTTTTGCGTATATCGACTGCTTAGTCAAAGGGTTAATACGTTTGGTGCTCGGAGTGAGTCAATATGGTTATTCATT